TAGGTATTCCTTGAGTTGTCTGAAGGCCGCTTCACATTTATCATCCCGTTTGAAATTTTTGTTTCCCAGCAGCAGTTGATAGAAAAGTAGGCATATGTCTGTTGATCGGGCGATAATTCTGTTAAGGGCAGCGATTCCGCCCGTCAGACGATGCACTTCTCGCGTATTCTTCGAGGAGAGGAGTTCAAGGACTGCAGCGATCTTTTTGGATTGGCCTCGATTCCCCGTTTGGTGACGAGGTAGCCCATAAATTCTCCTGATTTTACGGTGAACGTACACTTGGCCGGGTTCAACTTTATGTCGTACTCATTCAGACTTTTGAAGCATCGTGCGAGATGGTCGTCGGCGTTGGCTGACTTAACAAGCATGTCGTCAATATAAACCTCCATGGTGTCTCTCAGTTGCTCGGCGAACATCCGGTTGACAAGACGCTGGTATGTGGCTCCTGTGTTTTTTTAATCCGAAAGACATGACCTTATAGCAGTATGTCCCGCGCTCCATGATGAAAGAAGTTTTTTCCCAATCGTCAGAGTGCATTATAATTTGGTTGTAACAAGAAAAGGCGTCCATAAATGACAACAGTTTGTTTCCGGCTATTGCTTCCACGAGGCGGTCTATATGGGGGAGAGGAAAGCTGTCTTTGGGGCACGCCTTGTTGAGGTTGGTGAAATCAACACAGACTCTCCATTTGCTATTCTTCTTTTTGAGAACTACTGGGTTGGCCAACCACTCTGGGTATCGAACTTCTATGATGGATCCTGCTTTAGACAATCACTATACCTGGTCGTTGACTGGTTGTACCCTTTCTGGACCGAGTTTGCGTCACTTTTGTTTGATCAGTTTGTAAGTCGAGTCAACTTGCAGTTCATGCTGGACGAGAGACGGTGGGATACATTTCATATCTTCAGTGGTCCAGGCGAATGTTGAGATATTTTGACGAAGGAAATCGACGAGCCAGTTGCGTAGATCATTGCTTATTTCTGTCCCGATGCCAACGCATCGCTCAGGATCTTGTAGGTCAATGTTCACATGTGTAACGTTTTCTCGTTACTGGTCGTCGGGAGGTGGGTGTTCGTTCCGGACGTTAGTCACAACGAGGCATGTTTGTGCCACCTTCCTGATCTTATGTTCAGTAATGAAACACATTTTTGCTAACCGCTGATTTCCCCAAAATGTGAAGATACCGTCTGACTTTGGGGATTTGAGGCATTGTTGATAGGTAGATGGTACTGCCTTAATTTAGTACAACCAAGGTGTCCCAAAATGATGTTGTAAATCGCCGGTTTGTCAATGACTACGAACTTAACCATCTTGGTGACTCTTCCATTGCATACAGAGAATTTGATGGTGCCGATAGTCATGGTTTGGTCCCCGCCAAATCCGGTTAGTGGTTTTATGCTGGTTTTGAATTTGTAGCCTTGCATCTCCATTCGTTGTAGGGTTTCCTTAAACATCAGATCCACGGTGCTTCCCGTGTCAATCAGAACCCTTGATACTTCACAATCTCCGATTCTTAGTTCAATGACCAGAGGATTGTTGTGTGGCGTGTGGAGTCCCTCGGTATCGGTTTCGTCAAAAGATACCTCGGCGCCGATTTTAAGTTCGTCGTCGGAGTTGCGTCTCCAAAGCTGGACCGTGGTGGATTTTCTTTCGTACTCCTTGATTGACCGTACTGAATCCCTGCATGACGGAATACCTCCCATGAACATGCTAGTCCTTCGTCTTGGAGGACCTTGGTCGCTACCTTTCTCTTGATCGTCTCGCTCACGCTTTGGCGGTTTCATGTCTGAATCAATAGGGCCGGCCTGTTGACTTAGCGTTGTATTGGTCAGCTGCTGCTTCGCTTCTGTCTGGGTAAGTCAAAAACGCTTTCTTTCCTTTTTGGCTGAAAATTATTGCTTTGATTGGTAGGCCACTGGGAAGGGCCGCCTTCTCACTCTTTGAGATCCTTCTTGAATCGTGACATCAAGGTATCCTGTAGTGCGTGACATTCTTTGGTGGAATGTCTAAATCGCTTGTGGAAGTCGCAGTATGATTTAGGTTTCCCAGGCGAATCGGTCTGGCCCTGGACAAACTTGTTCCACCTGCCGGGACGCTGCGAGTTTGTTTGTGCACTGGCGACAGCAAAAGTGGAAGCCCGGTTATTCTTGTTGGGGTTGTAATTTTTGTCATAATGCTGTCATGGCTCGTAGTATTTTTCTTTGGGGTTCTCCTTCGACGTCGTCGCTTTTTGTGCGGCGTACTTCTTAGTCTTTTCAGTCCTTTCTTCTTTGATCTCAATGAAGATTGTTGCTCGGTGGAGCGCATCCTCTAGTGTCCTCGGCCTGTTCTTCTTCAACTCTTCGTAAAAGCTGGATTCGAACCAAAGTCCATTTCGGAGTGCTGGGAGAGCTACGTTGTCTGATACGACCAGTCTGGAGACGATACTCTTGAATTTGCCTATATATGATCGCAGCGATTCCTTGGAACCCTGGCGGAGTGTGTAAAGGTCGGATTCGCGGGCTCCATGCTCGATGTACATTGAATAATGTCGGAGGAATGCCTTTGACAATTCTTTGTAGTTGTCTATTGAGTTGACTTCTAGTCAGGAGAACCAACTTAGGGCGGCGCCGGTTAAGTTCTCGACAAACAACTGGTAGTATCCTGCATCACACTCGTGCAGAAGGAATTGGGCTCGCCCCATGGCAACTGTAAAGTCCTGTGGGATCTGTCATTCCGTCGTATGGTGTTACCTTAACTTTTCCCGAGGGACGAGCTGGGGAGTTAGTTATAATCTGCGTGAACGGGGTGTTCTGGGCTTCCTTTAACACGCGCTCGAGTTCTGGAGCCGACCTTGTTGCCTGATGAACTTGGGAGCTCATTCGTTGGAGTTGGGCTTTTAAGATTTTGAGTTCGTTGTCCAGTCTTTGGTCTCAACGATTGAGGCCATTTATGGCGGTTTCCTGCAGGCTCGCCTGTTCTAGGGTTCGAGCGCTATTGTTCCCCAAGTATATTTGGCTTGTCCGTTTGTGATTGATTAGCGAGGGTCGGTCGGCTTGCTCACTTAGATTGGTATATGAGTCCCCAAATAGTGCTTGTTGTAAACGCAAAGCGAAAGCGATTGGAGCCGGCGTCTGTTCGTTACTACGATTATGGAGCTCGTCGATCCTGTTGTGGTAAACATGTTGTGTCGTGGCCAGTTCGTTAAGTCTCTCGTTCATTCTGCGGGTGCTCTCGGACATCTGAGCGAGGAGCATATGGAGTAGGCTTGATACGTCGGGTTGCGCTGGGAGACTTCCGAGGGATGCCACTGAGCTTGGAACGCTTGCTGCAACGGGGGAAGGTCTCATCGCGGGAATTGATCTTGTCGATGTCGTCAGGAAGGCTGGCCCTGTAGGCGGGGTGTACGTACGGTAAACAGAAGCCATCGAGGTCGGCCTTGCGGATGGTTCCCCTAGTATTGCCATTGAGCTCTGTTCCCCTGATATCAGGGAGGTTTGCAGGAGCGACACTGAGGAGGTCGGTATGGGCGATGCTGAGGAGATCGGCAAGAACGATGCTGTGGAGGTCGGCAAGAGCGACGCTGAGAAGGTCGGCAAGGGCGACGCTGAGAAGGTTGACAAAGAAGACGCTGAGGAAGTCGGCAAGAGCGACGCTGTAGATGGAGTCTGTTCTGTCATTGTCGAACTCGTGTTATCACTAATACGTATTCCTTCTCTCTGGAGCGATAACTGTTGGGCTTTTTCTAAACCCGATACCAACAATCATCATATAATATATAAAAGTTGATGGCATAGTGTATTGAGGGCGTCCACATGGGATTAAAAAACTCGATCTGATTGGTCCACATCAGCATATTCATTAAATAAAATATGTTAAGTATGATTAGGACGGAAAAACTTGATTTAATTGGTCTACATCAGCTTTTAAATCAAACTAAAAAGTAGTAAGTATAATTAAAACATTAAAAATTAATTTAACAAATTATGTCCAACAAAAAAGTAAATTCAATCTGATTGATCAAAATCAACATATTTATTAAATCAGAAAGTGTTAATATAGTTTAAAATTTGAAAGTCAAATAAAAAAATTAACAATTAACAATACATGTATAAAAAAAGTAACTATTATCAATTATCAATTTTTAAAAATCTACAACAACTCGATTTAACAACTAAAACAATGAAAACTGAATAAAAATATAACATAAAACTCTTGGAAGAGATGATGGAGAAGAAAAAAATAGTTTTGAATGATCACTACAACTTCCTAACAAAATTAAATGCGAATCAACATGAATCATGGATTATATATACAGTGGTACACAACATCAATAAGACTTTCAATAAAAAAACTAAATATTTGAACACATAAACCTTCAAGAAAAAAAGAACTATAAAAATTCTATGGAAAACAGAAAATAATACCAAAATCTTAGTAATATTATATTTCACTAAATCAAATGTATATGTATGTCAAAGTTAGATAATTCGATAGGTGTCATTGTTATTATTTTACCTAATAGTTTTAAAAATTTATAAATAAAAATAGAAGAAATTACACATTATATATTAAATTCTCTTATATAAATAAAAATTTCTATAAATATATATAATTTTTAATAATTTTAAAGATAATAGCTAAAAAAATAAACTAAAATATTAATACAGACTCGCGTATAGCGCGAGTTATATATCTAATTTATATAATATCTTTATATATATTTCGGATAGAAAGAGAAAATAATTACTTCACAGACAAATAACTGGAATTGAAAATCTGAAGAGTGATTGTTTTCAAGACAGAAAAACCTTTTTTTGTAATTCTCACAGTAGAAGAAGAATCCTAACCTAAAGCTTAGACAAGGAGAGGTAAATAGCGAAACACGCGCGTTGGGCCGATAAATGGGCCTTTTAATCTCCATTGTCGATCAGAAAATCAAACCAAACCATACCGAATTGAAAGCGGTACAGTTATAAGCCGGACATATTTTCCGGTTCTATATATTCTGCTTACTCTGGTTTACATTGACAAGTAGAGCCGGAGAAAGAGAGAGACAGCGAGAGACAGGTTTCTACTTCCGAGGAAGTGATGTTGTTAAACCCTATCAATGGCGAAATCGACGAAGAGAAGAAGAAGAAGGCGAAGGTGGTTGTGATAATGGGTCCAACAGGATCTGGGAAATCGAAGCTAGCCGTTGACTTGGCGTCTCACTTTCCGGTGGAGATCATTAACGCCGACGCAATGCAGATATACAGTGGCCTCGACGTTCTCACCAATAAGGTCACCATCAACGAGCAGAAAGGTTCAATTTTTGGTTCTTTATGCTCCAAATTTAAAAATTGCAAGCGGTTTTAGCTTGTTTTTGAATGTGGGTTTTGGGGATTTTAGGAGTGCCTCATCATCTACTTGGGACGATGAGCCCAGATATGGAGTTCAATGCTAAGGATTTTCGAAACTCCACCTTTCCTGTAAGTACAAATTTATAACTCTTGACGTTCTTGTTGTATGTAAGCATTACAATTTGTATATACTCAATGAGTTTGAATGTAGACAAAGTCACCTTATAAGTAATGGTGTGTGATTGATATGTTTTCAGCTTATTGAAGAGATCCTATCTCGCAACCACATTCCAGTTCTTGTTGGAGGAACAAATTATTATATACAGGTGATCTTGTTGTTGCTTAAGTCATGTCTTATATATATATAACCTTGTTTTAATATCATTATCTTATCTTATCCATGTTCTTCTGTAGGCTATTGTGAGTAAGTTTCTTCTTGATGATTCAGCGGAAGATACAGAGGATTGCTGTTCAAATGTCACTTCAGGTATCTACAATCTCTATCAACATGTCAATTTTTTTGAAACATTAATTAACCAGATAATGAGAGATGTTCTTGCTGAACAGTGGTTAGTGAAGGCTTGGATGTTGAGTCTATCTCTGGGAGAGATGATTCTAGTGATGGCTATGAACTTCTAAAAGAGCTTGATCCCGTTGCAGCAAACAGAATTCACCCTAATAATCACAGAAAAGTGAGTTTTCTGATTTGGCTATCTTCTTTTGTATAGCCTTAAGACCTTGATTGTATGATTTCAGGTTTTACCCACTATGGTCATGTTTTGTAGATTAATCAATACCTCAGCTTGCATGCTAAAAGAGGAGTTCTTCCGAGCAAGCTATATCAAGAACATACTCTAGAGGTGGGCTCTCTCTCTTCTTCTTTACCGTGATTTTTACAAAAATAGTAAATGGACTTTGCAATTTGGATTGGTCTTTCTCTCTTACATGTTACCTTTTTACTGCTTTTGGGAAGTTAATTGAGTAATATCTGCGGCAGGGCAGAACTGGGGATGCATCGATACCTCTCGTTTTGATTACTGTTTGATATGTATGGACGCTGAAACCTCGGTACTGGACAAATATGTTGGACAAAGAGTAGATTCCATGGTAGTTTCTGGACTGCTTGATGAAGTATATGACATCTACAAACCAGGAGCTGACTATACTAGAGGCATAAGGCAATCAATAGGTGTCAGAGAGTTTGAAGATTTCTTGAGAATGTATCTCTCGGATGGCTCAGTTTTGTGGATGGAAGAAAGCAAGGATGATAAGGTTATGAAGGAGAATCTGAGTAAGATCATGGAGTTTCCGAGAGATGATAAGTTGAGGATAATGTTGGAGAAAGCAATTGATAATGTAAAGTTAAACACCAGAAAGCTCCTTCGTCGCCAAGTAAGTGAAGTTTTACTCTCTAAATGTAGAATTGATCAATCCATTTTCTGAAGTATTTCGTTTCTTTTGTATATTTTGATTCAGAAAAGGAGAGTGAGTCGTCTAGAAACTGTCTTTGGCTGGAATATTTATCGCATTGATGCAACAGAGTGCTTATTAAGTATGTGTGTCTCATCAATCTTTCAAGTTAATAGCAAAGCTAATTCGGTGAATAAAACTCTTAACAATCTTCTCTTATTAAGGCAAATCTGAAGATTCATGGGATGCTCAAGTGGTTAAACCAGCTTCAGAGATTCTCCAGCGATTCCTGAAAACAGACACTGAATTGGGTCACGATGAATCAATCTCAGTAAAGTTGAGTGAGAGAGATCTATGGAGTCAATATGTTTGTGAGGTATATACAATAAGTTTCTGTCTCAGTTTCTCCTCTTATCATCAAGTGGAATCTCTAAGTATTAAAACATTTTTTTGTTGAAACAGGCTTGTGGAAACAAGGTGCTTAGAGGAAGACACGAGTGGGAGCAACACAGTCAAGGCCGTGCACATCGTAAGAGAGCCACTATATTCAAAAAAGCTGAAACTTTCAAAAGCAGAGAGAAGCAACAAGAAGAACAAGTGGAGATTGCAGAGAGAGACATCATGAAAACTGAAAAAGGCTAATGTCAGTATTGGATTGGATTTGGACCCACTGAAAAAAGAAAGCCCAAACAAATTATGATTTATTTTATTTTTGAATTTGCTAATTTGAATGTCTAAAAGTCGACAAAATCATGACTTTTAACACTATTTAAATTTGAATAAATTGAGAAAATTTTAGTTGTTGCAAAAAGGGAGGAAAAAAAGTAAGGAACAGTTGTCCTGAAGAATGGGGCTGTAAAAAGTGATGACGAGATAAATTAAAGGAGAAATAGATATAAGAGACTTCCAAAAAAATGGTCCTTAATTTCCTTATGTCTTTTAATGGACACGTGTCATACTTTTACCATAAGGGCAACACAACACGGTCACCCTAAAATAGTATATTGCAGTTTTTGTTTTATTAATTGCAATTTATTTATAAACAGATGGTCCATTCCAAATTTAATTTTTAAATCATATAATTTATTTGTATTACAGGTGAGACCATACTACTACAGTACTACTATTGTATTATAATTTAAAACTTAAATTTCAAATGATTGACTATAAAAAAAAAATTATTGTAGAATTCATTTTTTTATAAATGACTCAACCATAAATAAAATTTGACAAACCATATTATTATGTGTAAACTTGGTTTTTGAGCGATGACTTCACATAGGTTTACATAAATTGGTTCTAGAAAATTTAGGTTGGCCATCTGACTAGAAAATAAATGATGTCAAAGATATCAAAAAGAGAACTGGGGAAGATGTAGAGTAAAGTTCACTTCTGAACAAATAAAATGCATAGTTACATTAATGTTACTTTGGCATTGTACCAATTAATATGTACATAATTACATTATTTTTTCTGTGTACACATCATATACATAATTGTATTCGAGGAAAGTTCTCATTTCATTATAATGTATTTTTTTTTATATAAAATAAGGGATAAATATAATAGACATGGTTGTGTGCCTATATATATGGGGTACACTAACATTTACAAAGGACACATGGAGGGCCATGTGAAGAGCCTAAGCAAATTTAATGCGACTGTTACTCTGAGGATACCGTTAGTTATTCTTTCTTTTATCTTTAATCTTTTATCCATTTTCCATTGACTCCCCTTTTTAAATTCATAATATTTTTGTTAATAACAATTTTATTTTAAGAGTTATTTAGGTAGATGGCAGTGAAGAAATAATGATTATAAGATGACTTATTGGTGTTGAATAGGGATTTAAGAAAAAAAAACAGCTTTTATTCCATCTATCTTTAGCTGAAAATTAATGCATTTGTTATTTAAATGTACAACTAAAAATATATTTATTTGATATTTTGTACAATCAGAACTCTAGAACAATATAGTATATTTTTGTATGACAAAAGTAGAAACAAATTTGATAGAAATATTCATAGATAAATAAAAAATGGGTATAAAAAAAATGAAGCGTTTTTATATCAGTTATTAGAACAAAGTTTTTTTATTTGGTTTATGAAATTGTAAAGGATATTAGCATTATTGTAAAGATTATTTGATGCAAGGAAACTGATATAATTTCCTGGCATCAAATTGAATACTTGTTCAGTTGTACTATATGGAGAAATAAATATTTACAGAGCTAATAGTCATTTTTGGATGATCATATATTTTTATATAAACAGTAAGGGAGGGGTTGATAGATTTTGATTCGAAAATTAAATTGTAAAACAAAAAGGGACCACCAGTGAAGGGTGTGAAAGCAATACAGACACTGTGCGGCACATGTATCCATCTCTTCCCTTTTCAATTTTTGTTTTTTCACATTAGAAGAAGAGAAAAAAAAACAGAAAGTTTGGTGTGGAGCAAATTTCTTAAGGAATTAAGAAAACAATGAACTTCCAAAACTTCAAGGCTTTTTTTGTCATCTCATAATATTAAAACCTTTAAAGATACATAGTGAAATACAGATTTGAAATACAGATTTGAGATACAACATCTAATACAACAAGATAAAATCAAGAAGAAACACAAGATTGAAATCAAAAAAATACTTGAAGGGATGAACCACAATCACAACTGATATGAAACTTGGTAGAATAACTTCCTCTCCATTAATAAGCCAAAGAAAATGAGATCTTTTGTACCTCAAAAAAACTCTCAATCTATTGAAGCTATGAGAGCACAAATCTGCAAGTTCACTCGAATGCCGCTCTGATCCATTGGGTTTCGGAATTCGCCTGTAAAAAAGCAAAACCATTTGGAAATACAACAACCAAACGGAAAAGGCGCCCAGAGATGAACGGCGACAAACACCTGCTCCTCCCCACCGTCGTAGATCCGTCGAAACTGAACCGCATCCTCTTCAAAAAACCAAATCTGACTTCGATCCACCACCGAAAACAGGAGATGCTACTCCACCCAACCACACCTCCGCAGGACGAAGACGAAGCCGTCGAAGAAAACCATCACCAGAACAAAGATGAAGATCTGCTTCCTTCTTGTTGAAAAGATCCGAAACAAACGAACTCAAAGACAAATTCTAACAGAGAACAGTAGAAAACAACATGAACCGCCTTCTCACAGTGCCGGCGGATGCCACCGGACACCGGAGAGGCCAAGAAGAAATCGCTCTTTTTTCCTCTTTCTAGCGGCTAGAGAGAACTCATCCAAAACTTCAAGGCTTCATAGAAAAAAAATAAAGTGTAGTTTACTAGAAAGAGTTTTTTTTTTTAAAACTTTGTTTAGTAGAAAGAGTTGTAAATTGCCTCATGATTGATGATATATGTTGTATACATATTTTAAAGTAATACATATATAAATTCATCAAACAACTGAAAATATGTAAACCCACATCATATTTATTACTAATAAAAGTTGATGCTAAATGCCTCTAAGGGTATCCACATAAGATTTAAAGATTCAATTCTATTGGTACACATCATCAATATTTTTAGTTAATTATATATTGTATATTAAAATTAATTAATTCGTTTTAATTGTTATAAGAAAAATTTCTAAATTTTAATTAATTTTGTTTTTGTTGTTATTATGAAAGTTTCTAAATTTTAAGTTAGTTATTAATAAAAAAATTTTAAAAATAGATATTATTTTTTTGTGAACAATAAAAAGATAAATTAATATATAAATAGATAATGAAAGAAAAATCATATATATTAAATAAAATTATTAAAAACTGTATTTAAACTCATAATTAAATTATTTTAAAATTCTAATCACGAAAAATAATTAAAATCTGAACTGCTAACTTAAAAAATATTAGTTGTGGTCTGTGTTGATGTCTTAGACCAATGAGAGTGTCCATATAGGACATATATACTCAATCTGATTAGTCTATATCAGCGTTTTTTATTAAACATAAAAAATAAAAAATATTGTTAATAATTTAAATAAATTAAAACATACAAAAATATAAAATTATCACAATAGAATGGAAATTAAGATAATTGTTTTTAACTAAATAAAATAAATTTATGTCAAAAATCTAAATCTATTGTGAAAATAAAATAGAAACTCATTGTCACAAAAATAAATATGTAAATCAATAATGAAAAAGTTAAATTGAAAAAAAAATTAGCATATAGATTTTAAATGAGTAATTTATTTAGAAAAAATATTAAGATTAAATTTTCATATAAATATATAAAATTATTATTTAAAATATCAATACAACCAAAAAAATATTCATCTTAAATTATCAAAAAAGAAAGTCATCTAAAACTTATAATTTTGGGGAAATATTAAAAAAATTAACACAAAATCTTAACAAACCAAAAATGATACTTTATGCTAATTACTAAAGAAAGCAATATAAAAAAATGTTTAACTAACAAAAACCAAAACATAAATGATTTCTTACAACATGTCAATACAATTAAATTAAAAGTACATAAATTAACAATAAAAAGAGAATATTAACTTAATATCTATGTTATTTATTTAACAAAATCAATATAAACATAATAGGTAAGAGAATAAAAAAACTTAAATAATACTAAAAACTTAACTAACAAAAATAATATAAATATTTAAGCTAATTATTTTAAGAAATCAATATTAAGAAATTAATTAAATAAAAAACTAAAATGAAAATTAAGTTTTACAAAATATTATTTTTTTAAAAAATACTTAAAAATATATTGACTTGATATCGGACTAACTACTTAAAAATTCATATACAAATATTTAACTAACAAAAATATTTATGTCTTAAAAATATCAATATTTCAAAAACAATGTTGTGTTCAAATAAAATAAAAATCAATATCAAGAGAGGTAAATTATCAAAGGAAAAAGTCGTATAAAGTACAATTAGCTTGATATTTATGCTAACTACTAAAAAAATATTAACTAAAAAAATCAAATGATGGTATAAGATTTTGAGAGAAGTTCACTTAAAAATTAGAATAACCAGTTATAGCATGTCAAAATAGCATTTTAATTAATTTAAAAAGTAAATTTAACAAAGAAAAAGTATTTATGTAAAAGATATTAGACTAATATATATGCTACCTATTTGAAAAATCAATAACAAAAGAGATTAATGAAAAATATATATGTTTTAAGTATATCAAACCTGCAGAAAATTGGATAATTAAAATAAAATATAAAATTACCGTCGGAGATATTTAAAGTAACAAAAAACAAGATCTAGAAGAAAATTAGTTTGAAATATAGTTCCAAAAATATTCATAATTTTTAAAATATTGATGTTGACTATGAATAACCATATAAAGTTATAGTAAGTTATACAAGTTTCTAAATCAAACACATTATTTAAATTTACAAAGATTAATACCTTGGTTGCGTCTGGCTGAAAAATTAACAAAGTAAAATACTACACAAGTAACTTTACATTCAAACTATAATAAGTAATAAAGTCTGATTTGTATACATACTTACTGCTTATAACTTAGTCAACATGAACAACACATGAGCAACATCCTCTAAAATTTTATTTAAATAATATAATATGACAAAGTTATGAATCAAATTCAAATGAGAATATATGAAGATAAAATATTCAAATCAAAACATGAATAAACACACAAAAGATAAAAAAAAACAGTGATAATGTGAAGTCTCAACATCATCTTACATGTTTAACAACAAATATTAGCAAATAGTTGACTGCAAATAAAACAGATCTTATAAACTGAATAGAGATATAACCTAAAATTCGTAGAAGATCTGGTGGAGAAGCAAAA